GAAACCCCATCTCTACTAAAAATACAAAAAATTAGCCGGGCGTGGTGGCAGGCGCCTGTAGTCCCAGCTACTCGGGAGGCTGAGGCAGGAGAATTGCATGAACCAGGGAGGTGGAGCTTGCAGTGAGTCAAGATTGTGCTACTGTGCTCCAGCCTGGGCGACAGAGCAAGACTCCGTCTCAAAAAAAAAAAGGTGTATCAAGTGCCTACTGCACAGGTTCTGTGCTAGGTGCTGAAATCACAGCCATGAGCAAGACTGTGTAGGGGTGAAAGAAACTTTGTGTCCTGAAGGTTTGATAATTTGAGTCTATAAAACAAACTGATGAAGACAGATTAACAGGAGAAAAGACATACAAATTTATTAACATGCAAGTCATAAAAAGTATGAAACTCAAAGGCCAGATGGTTGAAGCTTAAATACCCTCTGTACAGGGGAGAGGGAAGTGGAGGATGTAGATAATTTTAAGGAAAGATTAAAAGATTTTCGGGGGAAATGAATGGGCCTAAAGAACAGGCAATAGCCTGGAACAAACTTCACCTGACCTCTGGGTGATATTTACTCCAGTTTTCCTTCCTGGGGTATGCATCAATTTCCCCTGGTTGACGAGCGATCTGGGGAAGGGATTCACACAGTTGAAAATCTTCTGGAGGAGCTAGCCTTCAATAGATAGGGAGAGTTCAGAGGAAGCCCTTCCCTGCATTTGCTGCTACCCAGGTGCTCTAAGTTTGGAGTTCAAAGCAGCATATTTTGGGGAATTATTATCTGAGCCCCAACAACTGCCATGGTCCCTGACTTGCAGGTAAGCAAACATGTCTTTACAACAGAAGTGGCAGGATAGATAGTGGCAGTATAAATGGACCAATGATGTAAAGCCCCAGTCACACAGACATGTGCCGCATCTCCCAGAAAGACTGAGATAATATACACTTCAGGTCTGTGGTCAGGTGTTCAGTACCAGAGTTACTAATGCCATTTCCAGAAGGCTTTTCTAGTCCAGATGGAACTTATAAACCAAGGGGACAGGTTGCTAATCTCTTCATGTGCCCTGCCTAGTCGGTAACTCTTTGTTTACATATATGTGTCATTAGTGTTACACACAACATTTAAGTTCCTGTGCAATAGACAAATGATTATGAAAGCACCAGATCTTGAACAAACTGGATGATTTCCCTTATGATCTCATAACCCAGAATCCTAATGTGCCTCAGTCGATTTTGGACTTCATGAGCTCACCCAGCAACTTGGAGAGTTGTGATACTCAGAGATGGAAGGAACAAAGAGAGACGTTATGCTCCTCTGGGCGGCTTAATGCCCCAGTTTTGTATCTAAAGGACTTACCACCTTTGCCCGAGAGAGTCCCTTCCTCTTTTCTCTCTTTTTCTTCACCTTTCTTCCCTGCCTTTTCCCTTCCCACTGCACATCTTCCTCTCCCTCAGCATACCTCTCGGCACAGAATTCACTCACAGCAAATGACAATGTTGTGCTACTTATTATTTCCCTCGACTCCCCTCTTTCTCTTCTTCAACTTTCATGTTTATATTTTTCTCCCAATATAACAGATTTTGAAAGGGTCAGGCTATTCCAGTTCCTTTCTACCATCCCTCCTAAATCCCTCCCCCTGTATCATATCCCCAAGTCTTGAAGACAGGGCTTTCTCCAGGGATTAGAATGACAGGAAACCATCTCACCTGGGGTAGGGGTCCCACGTGATTCATCAATGGAACCCAGAGTGTTCTGGAAATCACTGCCTGAACAAAAGCAACCCCTCAGAAGCATCTTCAAAGCCAAGCTGTGAGAACAGAGAGGCCTCTCTTCTTGCCATAGCTCACGTACCTCTGCTTATTTTGTTCAGTGAGAAAGCAGAAGGGAGGATGAGACGGGCAATAGATTGGAGGGGAAAACAGCTTATATCAATTCTCTGGCACGTTCTTAAATTAATGTCATTCCTAGCACATGGTTTTATATTTTTAGCCTGGAGAGGATATGATGCTCGGAGGAAATTTAAGAAAATAAGCAACAGAAGGAGTGAGTCTGCTGCTCATAATCAAGCAGGTAATTAAAACATCATTTTCACAGTGTCCACTTGAATATATTCTCTGACTAACTTCCTACAAGTGTAGAAAAGCTGAACGGTTAATAATTCAGGAGCACTGGAATGAGTCAGGAGTTCTGGGAGACAGGAGTCCTAGTGTTTGTTCTGACCCTCCTTGTGTGGTAACTTTGATGCTAACAGTGAGCATGAGCATTTGCTGTTTGCCATACTTGGCTAGGGATGCTCTGACTGGGTTGTCTTGTATACCTGATATTATAGAGGAGGAAACTGAGGCACTGAGAAGTGAAGGGACTTGTCCACCCTCACACAGCTCATCAGTTGCCGAGCCAGCATTTGAACACAGGCTGTTTGGATAGAGGCAGCATCGCATGCTGCCACCTGAACAAAACCCTTTCCCTCTTGGAGTCACATGTCCCTCATCTGTTAAATGAGAGCGCTGGTTAAAAAGGTCCAGAAGGTGCCTTCCCATTTTGGAATTCTCTACTTATATGCAAGACCTGTCTCTCAGCATCACCGAGGAGGAATCACTCAGGGTTTCCCAGCACACTGAGTTTCCCAAATCCTGGCCTATGTGCAGCTATCATGGTCCTCTGGGCCCCATGGCATAAGCACATGGCGGCTTCTATGGCTCAGCGTGCCCCTGGCAGCCTGAGAAGTGTGAGCTCTGGTTTCTGACTCATCCGTCCCCTCTCTGGCTCTTCAGTCACTCTGCTCTTCTGCAAATGGCAGTGTCCACTGTGGTTGCCAGCCTGGGCTCCCTCCCTCATTTGAAACTGCATGTTCCTAATCGAGGCTCTGGAAGAAACAGTCCCCTGAGCTCCAGGAGCCACAAGAAATTGGAGACAGAATGAGAGAAAGAGCCAGGCTGGTAGACTCAGCAACAGAGAGAGAGATAGGATTTCACATACAGCTGAGCTTGAAGTAAACTCTTAAATAAAACAGCTGCAACCTTTTCAAAGAGGTCCCTGCCCAGAACCTGGCTCCAAGTAAACTTCTCAGAACTCTTAGACCACTGTAGAAGCCTGATGTCTTCATTCAAAACTAAAATAGTTGGGTGGAAAGGGTACTATTAAAATGCAAATGTTAACTTTTAACACCATCCCCTAGGAATTCTAAGCTCTACAACTTCAAAGCCTCAGGAAGAGGGATGCAATTCTTGTTACAGCTTAAGAGAGAACTCAAAGCACATCATTTGTCCCCTACTTGCCTGCTTCCCAACACACACACACACACACACACACACACACACACACACACACA